GGTATACAATAAGGAAACAATAATTAAAAGACCCGGGTATGATATATAGCGATAGCGGGTTATTATAGAACTTTAAAAAAAACTACTGTATTAAGATTCTACAAATTTTGATCTTTAAAGATCATCTGCGCTGATGGTTAAATACAATGATCTTCGAAGTTTTATTCGTATAAGACCTAAATCCGATCTGATTTAGATCTTGAATTAAGATTTTGTGGGTTTAGCTTTGCTGAAACTTTGAGTAATGAAGATTAAAACCAGGATCTTGCAAGATAAGTATAGCATTTTTTTTGGTTGTTTTTTTTCCTTGAACTAATTTTTTCTTTAGATCTAGCTTCGCCGGAACAATGAGTAAATCGCTTCGTGTTATCGTTGGAGCCTTCACGGGTACAATTTCGTCGCCTCAGTGTTATATTTTTTGGAACTTTTCACTAGCATGATTTCGTTACTTCGGTGTCGTCGTATTTGGAGCTTTGCTATGTAATTTCGTCGCTTCGGTATCGTCGTATTTGGAGCTTCGCTGGTGTGATCTCGTCGTTTCGGTGTCGTCGTATTGGAGCTTTGCTGGTATGATCCCATAGCTTTGGTATCGTCGTATTTGGAGCTTCACTGGTGTGATTTCATCGCTTCGGTATCGTAGTTTTAGGTTTTTTTTCATAATTTTTTTTTCATTCTTTTACTAACGTTTTCTTTCTTTTGCGGGTTTATGCTTCGCTGGTGGTTTTTTATTCTTGGAGAATCCTCTTGTGGACTTTTGGCATTTTCTCTTTGAAGAACACTCTTGTGGACTTTCGGCTTGTTTGAAAATTCTCTTGTAGAATTTCGGCGTTATTTGAAGAATTCTCTTGTAGACTTTCGGCGTTTTTTTTTTGGAGAACTTATAGGCTTTTGGCGTTGTTTGGAGAATTCTCTTGTGGACCCAGTGGATAAGTACTAGTTCTTTTAGCTTGTTTGTGTTTTTTTTTCTATTATTTTACTAACTTTTTTTTTGTTACTTGGAAGTGTGAAAAGGCAATTGACGGAATTGGAGTTGAAAGGACGAGAATAAGACATTCAAAAATCAGCAGTGATGGGGGTGTACTCGTGGAATACTTGCAATTGGCAACGGAATTGGGGCTGAAAAGATGAAAATAAGGCATTCATTTATCAAGAATCGGCAATTGATGACTGGAATTGGAGTTGAAAAGATGAAAATAAGGTACTCGTTTATCAAGAATCGGCGATTGGCGACTGGGGATTGGAGTTGACGAAGATGAGAATAAGGCATTCGTTTATTATCGAGAATCGGCTAAAAAAATTATCGAAAATCGGCGATTGGAATTGGAGTTGAAAAGATGAAAATAAAGCATTTATTTATTATTGAGAATTGGCGATTGGCGACTGGAATTAGAGTCGAAGAGGATGGGTTGGGATTAGTATATATTATGCATTAGCGTTAGGTTGAAAAATAATATATATTTTATGTAATATAAAAAAATAAATATATGAATATAACCCGGGTATATCGATATATGTGTAATTATTTATTATGTAATATTGTACTACATAGTACTAGACCCCACATAAAAACCCCCCTAGTTATCAGATCTATATCCATACAACAGACCCATGGGTCTATAAACTAGGATTCAAAATTGGT